CTAGGAGGGCGAGAGCAGAGCAGCTGGCGCGCAGCTCGAGGAAGGCCCGCCCGCGTCTCCAGACTGGTAAGACTTGGCCGGCGCGCTGGGTGGGACGGGAGAGAGGGAAGGGGGGGAGCTTCGGCCCCGCAGCGGCCTTAGGAGCCCGGCAGAAGGTCGCGGTGGGGCTAGCGGGCTTTCTCACTAGCTGAAAGGAGCTCCATATGGAAGCGAGGACCAAATATCGTTGGGGAAACGTTCCTAACGTGGGAAGTTTATTCCACCCGCAAATGAGGGGACCGGGTGCGAAGGATGCCAGGGCCCCACGGCTCCTTCTGGGCTTTGAATTTGCTCTCCTCTGCACCATGAGAAGGAGTAGGTGCCATGCGTGATTTGGATATGCCGAATTTCAAGCTGCTGTTTAGGACTCCCGGGTGGAATACCAAGCAAAAGTGTTTCAAAAGGACACATTTCTAGTCCTCATGTATGCAGGAAAGCCTTGGAGGATCATTTCTGTTACCTAACTGAAAAGTTGGAATCGGCTTCTCCGGGCCTTTGAGGGTGAGGAAGTGGTTGTTTTTTTGTTCAGTACGATACCATAAAGTCAAGCTCAACACCTAAGAGTGTCTTGGACTCGACTATGCAGATTTCTCAGCAAGAGAATAGAAGGGATTTACCTGTATTTGCTTTGCTGGTGGTTTTCAACTTTCCAGTCTAGCCTACATTTTAGGTATTCCAGGGAAATTTTTCCTCCAGGGATCCAGCCAAGGTCAGACAGGTGCTGCCATTGGCTAAAACTCAGGAAAGATAACATTCTTCAAATTAGATGCATTGGAGCCCAGGCTATTTGGAAACCCCATCTTCTAGCAAATCCCATGTGGGTTATAGAAGATCTGTGTAGCTCTTCAGTGCTGCAAGCGTGCTGCACACTATTTATGCTCAGAGGCACTCTTTCTCACCCACATATGTTCCATATAGTATTGTGCTGGATCTGGAAGCAGGATCTGAAAAAAAAGGTCACCTGCTTGGGAATTTGGACTCCAATTCCTGCAGAAGAAGCAATCACCTTACACCTGTGCCCAGAGATTGGGTTATTTCAGGTGCTAGTTTAAAAAAGGGGTTAAGAGACAGAGACAAGCTTCTTCTCAGCTTAAATCTCCCACCCTCGCCCTTAAGAAATGCCCGCTAGTGTTCCTATGGTAGTACCTTGTTTCCCCTGGCATGTGTTTGCCCCTGTCCAAAAAAAAAAAAAAAAATGCAGAAGAAAGATTATTCTTTGGAAGCCTTTCAAGAAAGCTCCAGGAAGCAGCTGTTGGGAGACCAAAGTCAGTGATCTGCAAAGACCAAACATACCAGGAGCTGTAAATTTCAGGTTGCCAAGTGTGGAGAATTCCTGATTGAACTTGCAATTGCTGTCTTTGCCTTCCCCCAGCCTTCACTTGACAGATGCTCCAGTGTCCCAGGAGTTCCCTTTTGAATGAAGTGCAGGTGCCTGTGTGCCTATCGAACCAGACAGCTGACCTTCTCTGTAACCTTGAATAAGCTGATCTGCTGTCAAGGCGGTCAGCGCTCCTGCATGCTAATGGGTTATTGACCAATACTCCAATGTGCCCAGACTTTGAGGCCGCTTGGGTTTTCTGTTACTGATCAAGCCACTCAGGGAAGAAAATATTAGAAAATATTTTTCTTCAGGGAAGAAAATATTAGAAAATAATATTCTCTACTGGGGTAGGGTTGGGAAGGATTCCTGTCTGAGACTGGAAAACTGCTGCCAGTGAGCACTTAAGATCGGGCAGTTTCACACGTTCCGTGTTTGAGAGTTTGCAAAGATGGTAGATAAAAGGGAAATTCCATTAAACCATTGGTGAAGAACCTACAGTCCTCCAGATGTTGCTGCCCTACACTTACAGCCTCTTTCTGCAATGCCTGTGTCGGTGGAGGTTTGGCTGAGAATTGGATTTCTTCAACAGCTGAAAGGCCCACAATTGAATTACAGAAAATAATGGATTCAGATTGTGGGATAGTTGGTTTCTTTATTATTTATTAACTACCTCTTTTGTTGAGGCTACATAGCCCTCTGTCCTAAGGTGATAAGATCTGGACTGCCAAAATCCAGACTGCTTCTAGAGCAGTGGTTCTCAACCTTTTTAATGCCACGACCCCAACCGGTCGTAAGTCGAGGACTACTCAACTGGTTGTAAGTCGAGGACTACTCAACTGGTGCAGCACCGTTTGCAGAATGGGACTTTTGGCAGGCTCAGCAGGGCAGAGACAGCCTGGACAATTCCTATTGGCTTTTGAAAGCCAATAGAATTAGACTCTATTCAAGAAGCTAAGGAAAAGGGGAAAAAAATGGCGGACTGCGTTGTTTGGCGACCCCCGTGAAATGGTCGTTCGACCCCAAATGGGGTCCCGACCCACAGGCTGAGAACCACTGTGCTAGAGGATGGCAGGGATAATCCCCTTGATGCCATCTAGTGGCCATCTGGGTTTTTGCAACCCAGATTTGATGGCCTTTCTTGTCCTATTTACGCCTGAAAAAACTGACCAATACTTGCTGCAAATTTATTTATTAAACTCGTACATGGTGATTACAGGTGGCTTACAACATTAAAAATCCACAATGTAAAACCCTACCACCCCTTCACAGCTGCAGTCTGACTCTTCCCAGGATGCCTTGCACAGGTCTGCCAACCTACTGCCTACTGAAGAAATGTTTGCAGAGCACCAAAGGGCTACCATGAAGCCGTCAGACTTGACCCTAACATACTTTTTTGCATTTCCCAACGTGAGGAGCAGCCCTATTTCTCCATCCTCGTCACTGCTTCTCTTCTGACAGTGGTTCATCAAGCCTTGCTCCCTGATGTTTTTAACAGGAAATGCCACAGCCTGAACCAGGAACATCTGGCACATAAGGTGTATGCTGTGCTAACTGAGCAACAGCATCTCCCCCCTCTGGTAAGTGGGAGCGAGTTTGGCTGGCAGAAAGTTGAAGTCTGATTCCCACTTTGGAGCCAAACAGTGGCCTTAGATCAGTGGTTCTCAACCTTTTTAATGCTTCGACCCCCACCGGCCGTAAGTCGAGGACTACTCAACCGGTCATAAGTCGAGGACTACTCAACTGGTGCAGCACCGTTTGCAGAATGGGACTTTTGGCGGGCTCAGCAGGGTAGAGACAGCCTGGACAATTCCTATTGGCTTTTGAAAGCCAACAGAATTAGACTCTATTCAAGAGAGTCTATTCGATTGGCTTTCAAAAGCCAATAGAATAAAAGGGAGTAGCACAGCTAAGGAAAAGGGGGAAAAATGGCGGACTGCGTTGTTTGGCGACCCCCGTGAAATGGTCGTTTGACCCCAAATGGGGTCCCGACCCACAAGTTGAGAACCACTGCCTTAGATAATCCTTTATCTTAGCTCATTTGTTGGGTGAGATGTTTGTTGATAATAATTAGAAAGAAAAATTATGTTGTGATTGATTTGATTATTGTTTGTGCATAATAATTGCAGGAAGACAATAGTTGTAGGAGGCTGTTTTGAGCCAAAATGTATCTTGGAGGTCATTTAGTCCAACCCACAACTCAGTATAGGATCTATAGTGCAAGATGCATTTTTAAAGTTCCTTCCTTTCCTGGGAAAGAAAACATAGCAGCTCCTAAGCCTGTTAGATTCCTCTCTAATTGCTGTAATTATTAGGGAAGTTCTAATGTTTAGTCAGATGCCTCTTCAGTATTATTTCTACCAATGTCAGAATAGATTTTTCTCCCAGTTGTCATTCAGCTGGAGGGGAAAAATGGTTTTAGAAATTGTTGTAAAAGAGAAATGACCGGGAGTGGATTGGGCTCTTGTTCTTTTTGTGTACTACCAAAAAACTTTTCCCATTATTGACTTCTGTGACCACAGAGATAAATCTGAATGCATTCTGCATGACACAGCTCTGTCATATTCACATTACTGAATTATTCATTAATTAAAAAGTTCTCAGAACTCGACTGTGCAAATGTATCTCCGGTTGGGCAAAAACTTTCTGGATGTGAGATTTTATCGCTCGTGGTAGGCAAAAAAAAAAAAAAAAAAAGGAACAAAGAGCCTTTTGGGGACTTGGGGTGCTCTTGTTTTTATTTATTCACAGTGGGGCCAAAGGCTGTAACTTTGCCAGTATCTGTCCTGCAGCCTTCCTTGCTTTAGTTCAGTCCTGAGGAAAGATCTCATGAGGAAATGTCTTCCTTGGGCCTTTTTAGCGTTAAGGCTTGGTTGATTGTTTACCTACCATTACGTTGTTGACTCTTAGCAACCACATAGCTAGACCTTGGTGAGGGAGGAAAGGAGCCCTGACCTTGAGAAACAGAAAAAGCATCCAGTTCACCCTACAGATCAGATGGAGAGAAGTTTGAAAGGTTATTTAGGCTTAGCTCTACTATCTCCCCTTTATTATTTTTTTGACCCCTGTCTTCTAATTAGCTGGAGCTCTCCATCTCATTTTTCCTTAGTTTTCTCTTAAAATAACCCGTCCTCTCCAGCATTCCTCATCATTCAGGATTAAGCCTGTTCATCTCAGAGATGGACTATCATTTTGAGAGAGTAACTTACATCTTCTTTGTTGAACGTAATAGTGCAGCAGTGGAGCAATTGGGAAAGGTCAGGGTACTTGAACTATAGTCTCATTTTCTTTTAAAAGGGGGGTCTTTTTGAAAGGAAAGCCCATTCCTTTTTATTCATGTCCCACCTCAGATCAGCATAGAACAGTGGTTCCCAACCTTTTTAATGCTGTGACCCCCAACCGGTTGTAAGTCGAGGACTATTCAACCGGTCATAAGTCGAGGACTACTCAACTTCTCATTCTGCAGCACCGTTTGCAGAATGGGATTTTTGGCGGGCACAGCAGGGCAGAGACAGCCTGGACAATTCCTATTGGCTTTTGAAAGCCAATAGAATTAGACTCTATTCAAGAGAGTCTATTCTATTGGCTTTCAAAAGCCAATAGAATAAAAGGGAGTAGCACAGCTAAGGAAAAGGGGGAAAAAATGGCGGACTGCGTTGTTTGGCGACCCCCGTGAAATGGTCGTTCGACCCCAAATGGGGTCCCGACCCACAGGTTGAGAACCACTGGCATAGAATAACTCCAGCATTGTTCACGTTGTTGCCAAGCAAGGGATCTTGCCAGACATATCTGAGGGATTGGGATGGTCATTTATTTATATCTCACTTTTGTTATTAGTGTTATAAATAATTCAATGTGGCGAAGATACCTAACACTCCCGTTTCCTCTTATTTTCTCCACAACGACCCTGTGAGGCGAGTTGTGTTGAGAGAGAGTAGCTGGCCTGAAGTCTCCCAGCCAGCTTTCATGCCTAAGTTCGGACTAGAACTCACAGCCTCCTGGTTTCTAGCTTGGCACCTTAACCACTGGACCAATAATGGCTTTCCTGCCCCTGTGTTACACTAAGGTGGGACCAGGCATTTTTGTTTATGCCAGATAATGATGCCATTGGTGAATGTCTCCATACTCGGTCCCCATTCATGCCAGAAACATCCCTTTGCAAGCGATTAAATTAGCTTTCCCAAATGAAATCTACACTGAGAGGACACAGAGTCCAACAACCATATTGTCCATGCGCTCTTATTGCCTAGTTGTCATTCCTCTTTTGTTGCTCGCTACACATACACAGTGGTTGACCATTAGAATGACTTGTGGACATTATTCTTTTTACAGCCCACGTGTTCTCCAGGTTGTCTTGAACTGAATCCGTGAGTAGGTGAGCATATGTGTTTTGTCTCCATCTCACATCCCTGAATGTTGTAGGGCTGCGAAACCCATAACCTCCCACTTTATATTTAGCACCAGTGATGACTATTTTGCCTTGCAGCAGGAAGTTTCTCATGAAGGATTTCCCCCCCCCTTCTCATCCAGTGCAGATAATGATCTCCCTGCATTGCCCTCCGACCTTGCAGCCTCTCTCCAAAAGTAATCCAGAAGATACAAGCAAGTTGTGCTTTTCTCTTAAGAGGCATATGTGTGACTGGGGAACCAGATTGCTGTAAATATCAAGTCGTATAATTTTAATTGAAATGCCCCTTATTTTTCAGTTATACCACATTTGTCACACAGTTGAGAAGTTAGTTGCTCAATGAAAGATAATTCATGGAGCAGCTTCTCTAATCATCTGTATTGTCAGAGTGTACACAGTCTTATTGTGCGAGATAACCCAGGAGTAAACACAGTAAACAGTGGTCTATAGTAAATGGTGGTTTACTATATCTACTATAGTATAATATATATACTATATCTACAATATCATACACTAGGAACAATATACATACGCGTGCTAATGCAGCAGGATCCAACAAACCAGAGTTACAGAAAGAAACGGAAGAGAGGGAACACATCAGCGGAGCCTTCCCTTTATACAAAGGCTCTTAAAGAGACACAGACCCTGCTGAATCATTCCCATCGTTACAAATTAAATCTTACATTACATAAGCTGGTTAGCTGTTAAATCAATACCTTGACATATATTCAGGTTTTCCCTATTCTTTTCCAAAGGAGATGCCGCAAAGTATAATTACTTAGTTTAGATCATCTTCTAAATCCTTTAGTGCTTCTTTAAAGGCTGAGGCCACAAAAGCAATGAAAGGTTTAGGGTTAGAAAAAAAGAGACTAGGATAACATTAGGAGAACTGCTAAGGATGTAGATCAATATTTCTCAGTCTCAGCAACTTTAAGATGTGTGGACTTCAGTTCCTAGAATTCCCCAGCTAGTAGCTTCTTCCATGAGGAGAAGAAGTAGGAGGAGAAAAGCTGATATAGCTGGCATTTAAGATCAGAGACAGCAAAGGACTATGATATCAGAGAGCCAATTTGGGGTAGTAGTTAAGGGCACTGAGCTAGAAACCATGAGACCATGAGTTCGAGGTCTAGTCTTGGACATGAAGCCAGCTGGTGAGTTGGGCTCTCTCTCTCTCTCTCTCTCTCTCTCTCCCCGTCTCTCTCTCTCTCTCTCTCTCTCTCTCTCTCTCTCCCTCCCTCCCTCCCTCCCTCCCTCCCTCCCTCTCTATCTATCTCTCTCGTCCTAGATGAGGGTGGTGGCAAACAACTTTAAAAAATATTGCCCAAAAAAGTATATGAACTTGTTCAGATGGTCATTAGGAGTCAAGACTGACTGGAAGCACACAAATAATAAAGATGACAAAAAAAAAAAAAGGTCTGAAGTATAGTGTAGTTTAGATGCTGAGGATGAGGGTAAGATGAGATGTTTGGCAACTCTTGTTCTATAAACCTTTGCTGTAATTAAAAAGTCAGCAGAAAGCTTTTGCTCCATTTCACCTGTCTTTTTCTAGACCTATGGCCTGCGGTGACTAAGTTTGGGCGTTAACCAAGCATTACGAATTCAAAGCCTTCGTGGCAAAAGGCATAACATCTATCACAAAAGCTGCATGTACAAAAGAAAAAAAAAACCCATGTCTTCCACTGGACGGGGCTGTGCTTTTGAAAACTGCTGTAATTTGCAATTCTTCCCCTGTTTTAATATCTTATCTTGGTATTGCAGGCAAACTGGAGCACCTCCCTTTGAATCTACTTGACAAAGGTGGCCGTGCTCCTGGTACATTGTGGGTTGGGAGCAGGTTATCATCACTGCTGACCTTTTGTCCTCTTTCTGTCCTTTTCAGAAATGTCAGCTCAGTTCCTGACCGATTCCTCTGAAGTTTGTTGAATGGAAGCATGGACTGTTGAAGAATGATGCCCGAGTCCCTCAGCTTTGGGTCTTTCAGCGTTGGGGCCTGTTGCAACCGCCAGTGACGCCATGGCCCACCACAATGTCAGTTTCCAGCCTGAATCCTCAGCACCACGTTCAGACTCCAAGGAGGAAACCGTGGATCGCAAGGAAGAAACGGCCAATACTGAGCCCAGCCCCTTGGACTGCGTTATCTGCTTCACCCCTTACGACCAGCTCTTTAAACTGCCAAAGGAGCTGAGCTGCAGTCACGTCTTCTGCCTGGAGTGCCTGGCCCGCATCAATGTCTCTTCAGAAGATGTCAATGCCATCACCTGCCCCGTCTGCCGGGCACCCACCGTCTTGACCCCCCGCAAGGGCCTGCCGGGGCTTCCCACCCGCCGCGACCTGCTGGAGCAGCTCACGGCAATGCCGGTGCCCCCTGGCTCGGTGCGCTTTGATCGTCGGCGGGGTCTGCTCTACTTGCCAGGGGGGAACAAAAGCGGGGCTCAAGTTGGAACGAAGCCGGGACCTCCGCTCAACACTGTCAGTTTGAGTGTCGATGTCGGCAGGCCCCCACCTCCAGGATCAGCCCGGAGACTGGCCATCTCGGGCTGGCCGTTCTATGCCGCTCTGTCAGTTGCTTTGCTAGTCACCGTCGCCCTGATAGTCTGTGGCATCTACATCTTCATGATGCCTTCTATGTACATTTCAGTGGGAGGATTTCCCAAAGGGAATCACAGCTCGGCCTTTGAGAGAAACGAATCTAGTCCAATAAGCCATCACTCGCCCTAACGCTAAGAGATGGGTTTCCTGCCCTTCCTGCATCCACCTGTGATGATTGTGCTGCTGGTAGTTTCAGATTCTCCAGAAACTCCCTGGCCGCCTCCAGTTGTCTGCACAGGATGAATGGGAAGATAAAGCTTAACTCTGTCTGCTAATCCTTTTCATCTCTGGAGGCTGTGGCACCAGCACTTTATTGGCGAATCACTCCTTAGACTTCTGCTGGCAATTTCTCTCGCAGTCATCTTTGGATGAGGTGAATTGGAGAGGTTGACGTTGCCCCTTTGCTGTTTTATCGCCCGTGGGAACAGGCTGGTAGAAAAACGGAGCCATGTTATATCTTCTTGGTGGATGGGAGACTTTATTAATCTGCCTTAATTGGCACCTTGGCAGAGACACACACCATGGTCTTAAAGTGTTGCCAACCTTCCTTATCCTGGTGCCTTCCAGGCATGCTAGTTCATTAACTCCAACCCCCTCCAGAAAGTTGTAGTCAGCTGTTGGTGCCAGGCTGGGAATATCATTTAAGATGAGGAGAACAACATTTCAGGTGCCCAAACCAGTGCCAGCTTGAAACTCTTTCTCCAATCAGGAATGCAATGCAAGACAGAATACGATGGGGGGTGGTGATAAACTCTTAGAAAACATGCTTAGAGAGAAGCAAATGAGGAGGATGTTTCCATTGGCCTTTTCTCCTGAACAGCTGGTGGAATCTGCTCTGAGGTTTTGCTTCGCAACTGGATCTGGCACATCACTTCCAGGGATTGAGGTGTCTTTGGCAAGGCATCCTCATCCCTGGCAGCTGCACTTTCACTGTTCTTGGTGCTTGTTTTTTTTTTTTTTTTTTTGCTTTCTAACCTCTCCTCCTGGCTACCCTACTCATAGGAGCAGCTTGGCAGAGAAATTCACTTGGTGTTGGGTTCAGCTGTGAGCAACTTGCTAAACATACCCAAGTGAGATTAATTGTTGATGCTGCTCTGGAGTTCTGGCGAGTGTGAATGTAGAACTCAAGCCTTGTGGATCGCAACAGCCTAATGAAGGACTGTAGGATTATCACTTCCAGCTTCTTGCTTGTTTTTGCTACTTCATTTTTCTCCCATGTTCTGTGGCCTGAACAACTGTGTGGAAAGCAGGAATTCAAAATGCCAAGGTTTCCCTAGCATCAAACATGTAGTAAAGGGAGGGGGCTTTACTTGCTCTGAGATACTTGCGGTGTAGGCCAAGACTCGGACGGAGAGATGGGGTGGAACAGACCTGTGGTAGAGGCTTGGAGATTTTATCTCCAGCTCAGAGTCATATTTTTTAGTGGGTTGTGGTTATTAATTGGCTGGGGGGAAAAAAAACCCCATCTGGCTTTGTGTCTGTGCCTTTAATAGCAGCAGAAAATGCACAGATCAGCAGATAAAGAAGAGAAGCAGTTAGTGGCAATTAATGCAGGTCAAATTACTCTGGAACTCAATAGGACAGATTGGTTTAGGGAAGGAAGAATGCCAATAAAATTCTGCAGTCTTCAGGTTTTGTGCCTTAGAAATTACTTTTTGTTTCTTCTGTTGTTGGCCGCTTCTGTAGCAGGATCACCTCAATCCTGGAAATACCTCAAAGCTGTTTCACCATCCTGCATAGGAAATCTGTATTATCGGGGGGGGGGGGGGGGGAAGAATACTTAATTGTAAAAATACTGGCTAGCTGCTTAGAACTTGATGCTTGTGATAAGGAAATTTGGAACTGAAGTCCAAAAGCCTAGAATTCTATGCCCATTGCCCTAAGAAGTTTAATCTTCTTAAATGTTTTGTCTGCAATCACAAATAACCATTAAAAGACTTTCACACATTTCTTAATCATGTCGTAAGGACGTGTTCTGGGTTTATAACGTGTAATTTTTTTCTCTTCCCGGTTGACCATGAGCTGAGCAACCTCCAATGAATTCATCACCTGGGACTGACCCTTGAAGTTCAACTAAATTACTGTATTGGCATTTGTATCTTGATTAATTGATCATTGCTATTGATGGATCTAAAAATGAATATCTTCCTTGGGCAGCTTTTGTTTTTCCTTTGCCTTCTCCCTTTCCCTCAAGCAAATTATTCTTTTCAGCAAGGTATATAACTTCAAATTTCAAAACTCTGGGAATTGAAATCCACACACGGATTCTCAAAGTTGAGAAACACTTCAATAGAGAACATCAGAATTAGCAAGCTAAGAACTCTCTGTCTGGTCGTGAAGGCTATTTGGCTATTTACTAGGCTGTGTGGGTTCTACTTGGCTGCATTTATTGCCATGCTGATTCATGCATATATGGGCAAAAGCAAAACAACAATGCTTTGGAGGATGGGAGCCTTACCCTGAACTTCTAAATCCTATACATCAGTGGCTTCCAACCTTTTCTATACCCCACTAGAACGCTTCTGATATATTCAAAAGTTCAAAATAACGGCAACAAATTATGCATATACTGTACACTATAATTTTAAAAGCCCAAGTTTTCACACCCACTGGAATATCGTCTTGCACCCCAGGGGGTGCAAGCATCTCCGGTTGGGAACCCCTGCTACATATAAATCTTCACTGAGATCCAGTTTGGCCTAGTGATTAAGGTGCCAGCCTAGAAATAAGGAGGTTGTGAGTTCTAATCCTCCCTTAGGCCTGAAAAAATGTCGGTGTCTTTGAGCCAGTCACTCTCACCCTAACCCACCTCACAGGGTTGTTGTTGGGAAAATAGGATTATTGACACCTTGAGTTATTTAACAATGTCATGAGTGATTTAACAATAATGAAAGGATAAAAATCTAATTAAAAAATACCTCGACCACTACAAACAGGAACTTCTAAGAGTCCTTTTTTGATGGGGAAGAAGCTCATTTTGGATAAGCAGGAAGTTGAGGTAATATGGGTAGGCTCCTGGTAGTTTCCAATCTATCTGGCTGCCCCCGATCTAAGGAGTTAAAATAATTTTCCAACTTCATTTAAATCTTACATTTAGCCTCTTACAGAGCTATGTCTATAGTGTATAAAAGAATGGACTGATTTCTAGTTATACTGAAGAACTGCCCTGGCGCACAGCGATCTCCATCAATCTCTACTATATTGCCATATTATTCCGTAGCTGTTTTAACTCCAGGAGCTGGGCATTATTAAATAAATGGTCATCTTTGCCTTAGGGCTACTGAGCTAATTCATCTGTTCATTTGTCGGCAGAGACTAAGGCTGTATTTTAAAAGAGGCTTTTCAGATTAGTCTAGCCCAGTGGTTCTCAACCTTTTTAATGCCGCGACCCCCCAACCGGTCATAAGTCGAGGACTACTCAACTGGTCGTAAGTCGAGGACTACTCAACTGGTGCAGCACCGTTTGCAGAATGGGACTTTTGGCGGGCTCAGCAGGACAGAGACAGCCTGGACAATTCCTATTGGCTTTTGAAAGCCAATAGAATTAAACTCTATTCAGGAGAGTCTATTCCATTGGCTTTCAAAAGCCGATAGAATAAAAGGGAGTAGCACAGCTGAGGAAAAGGGGAAAAAAATGGCGGACTGCGTTGTTTGGCGACCCCCGTGAAATGGTCGTTCAACCCCAAATGGGGTCCCGACCCACAGGTTGAGAACCACTGATTTAAATCTTACATTTAGCCTCTACAGAGCTATGTCTGTAGTGTATAAAAGAATGGACTGATTTCTAATTATACTGAAGAACTGTCCTGGCGCACAGCGATCTCCATCAGTCTCTACTATATTGCCATATTATTCCATAGCTGTTTTAACTCCAGGAGCTGGGCATTATTAAATAAATGATCATCTTTGCTTTAGGGTTACTGAGCTAATTCATCTGTTCATTTGTCGGCAGAGACTAAGGCTGTATTTTAAAAAAGGCTTTTCAGATTAGTCTAGCCACACTCCTTTGCTTCCTTGGCTCTGCTGCAGCAACAAAGCTAACACACAAGCATGCACACACCCTCTTCCAGTCAGGTATTAGTGGCATCGACCAGCTCTGCTTTTAAAGTAGTAACAATTTGGAAACAGTCCAAGTATACCTGCCTTTTCAAACAACTTGAGTTTTAAAAATCTGCAGTAGCAGCAGAGTTATGGTTGGCACTAACTGGCTATGTCTTTTAATTAACAAGTCCACCAGCAGTTTTTTTTTTCCCTTTAGGCTCTAATTTCTTACAAACTTACTTATAAGAGGACCCCAGTGAACTAGGTGAAACTTACTTCAGGTCCAAATGGCCTACCCGTCTCTCATTCCCAGAAAAAATGGATAATAGTCAAAGCTGGTCCAGGTTTATAAGCCAAATTATTTAGATGGTGCTAGATTAAGATGCTCTGGAGTAACATGCATTGACTACTATATAGGTAGTCCTTATGACCACAAAAGAGCCCCAAATTTCCATTGCTAAGTAAAGATAATTAAGTGAATTTGTCTCATTTTATGACCTTTTTGGCACAGTTGTTAAGTGAATCACTACAGTTTAAGTTAGTAACACATTAAGTGAATCAGGCTTTCTCATTGACATTGTCAGAAAGTTGCAAAAGTGGGTCACATGACCCTGGGACAGGCGTAGGCAACCTGGGCTCTTTTATGACTCGTGGACTTCAACTCCCAGAATTCCTGAGCCAACCATGCTGAGGGGAAAGGGAAAGGTTTCCAAGCTGAGCCATGCTGGCTCAGGAATTCTGGGAGTTGAAGTCCACAAGTCATAAAAGAGCCAAGGTTGCCTACCCCTGCCCTGGGACATTGCAACCATCATAAATACATGCCAGTTGCCAAGTGTTCCAATTTTGATCACTTGACCATGGGGACGCTGCAAGTGTGAAAAATGGTCATAAATCACTTTTTCAGTGCTGCTGTAACTTCAAATGGTCACCAAATGAATGGTTGTAAGTTGAGGGCTACCTTCATAAGAGAATGAATGGGTTGTACCTAGATATTGAGGGAGAAACATATATGGCACCAACAGTGCTTTCATGAAGAATTCCCTTTGCTCCATCCCTTGTTACTTTGGGTTAGGCTCATATTGCAGGAGGTAGAACAGCACCATAAGGTTGAAGACATTCATACCGTTCACAGATGACACACAGGCACTTGTTTCGTATGGTATAATTTTACTAAAGAACATCTGTATACAGGTGGAAAAGTCTGGCGGGCATCTGGGCTTCCCTCGCCATCATCCATCGCTTTCCATATCTGCTGGGACAATAAAGTGCTCCAAATGGGAAAGGCATGGAGAGGATCTGCATGCAGAGGTGCATACATTCGTCAGACTATGGGCCCCAGTTCCCTAATGTTCATCAGCAACCTAGTCAATCCTTATCTTCACTGTAGCTCTAGCACCCTACATTCCTTGTGTAGACGAACCAAGATGAAGGCAATAATGGCAATTAAATATGATCTAGAAATTCTCCATGGCCCATTGTCAACTGAAGGACACATTTCCAAGCATGAGCAGATGCTGCTGAGTAAAAACTGAAATATTCGTAGAAACAATTCCAAGCTAACATTCTCACATCAGGCAATGCCTGTCCCCTCATATCCAAGGAACGGTGCTTGCTTTCTTAAAGAACTCTGCTACAGATGGACAAGGCGGAATCTTGTGGTTAATTAATTACCACCTGGACAAGGAAGTCACCTGTTACGGTCCCTCTCCTGTCTCTAGCAATAGCCTAGATCTCTGAATAAGGGCTCCACCTTCACCTTTTGAATTTTTCCCTTTGGCTTTAAACCTTCACCTCCATCATTGCATCACTCTTCACCTTTATGTAGATGTGGCCCAGCTGGGACGCCACACGGTCCCATGATTGCACAGGAATGATGGCAGAGGTTAAAATGTGACATGGCTACGATGTGCGATACGGCTATCATCAGAGCCAGCCAGGTTGTGCATTTGTGTGGTTGCTTGTACCGGTAGCCAGAATTGGATCGGGAAATTAAGTTAAGTGCTTTTGATAATGAAACGTAATCAGTGCAATCCAATCCAACATCATGGAACTCTTTGGGGTTACATGAAACATTTTTTTTTTCATACCAAAATGCTTAGAAGACTCAACTATCTGCTGCAGGAAGACTGTGCTACAGACTGGCTTGGAACAAATAGACCCTTTTGCAAACAATCAGGTTGCAGCAAAAAGAGGGAAAAAAAATGTAAAGAAGACCCTTGCAAACTATGGTAGGACTATCAGTAACGCAATATAATTGCCACGTCACAACTCAACTGTACAAAAATTGACGTCCCTGTATGCTGTATCTACTGGTATCTGTATCTAGGTTAAGTTTACAGAGGAGCAAAAACTGCACCAGTTTCCAATGCTCCTTTCAGTCTGAATTTCTTCTTGCTCCCTCATATTCTTGCAAGCACCCATGGACACAGATGGGGAGTTTGGCTTTACAATGGCCACATTTCCAGTTCCTCCCTTCCCAAGTAGTAACATTTGAAGAGTAGTGAGATGTGTGTGTGTTGAGGGGTGGGGGAGTGTAGATGCGGGTGTCCCTGGGATTGCATACTTCTAAATTAAGTCTCCAGATTTTCCACTTATATTTCCAGGCTCCAGGGGAAACAGATGGACAGACACGAAGATATTTTACAAAGACTAGGGATTATGATTCCGTTTCCTTTCTTTTGGGAAAAAAAAACCTCCTTCCCAGCCGGCTGTACAGAGTCCCCACCCACCAGAT